ATATGCAACCGCTAATTACCTAGAAGACAGAACCTGGATTTCTATAACAAAAGCGCTGAAAGAAAGAATTCAGTACTTAGGTAAACCGAATAAAGTTGTATTAGATAATGAACTAGATACCATTGCAGTAAGAGAATTCCTCAAAGGGCAAGAAATAAATGTGCATACAACTACACCCTATTTAAAAACAGGCAATGCGGATGTAGAAAGGCTTCACGGTACGTTAAATGAGCATATACGATTGTTTAACGCAGACCCACTTAATCAAGACGATATTCGTGAAAACGTGTTTAAAGCATTAGTTTCCTACAATAATTCTATACATTCTACTACCAAAAATCGGCCAATCGACCTGATAAATAATCTAGTTTGAAAAGAAGATCTATCAAAGCTTTCAAAAATAATGCACACAAAGAATAGTAAAAATGTAAATTTGTTAAATGAAAAAATGAAAAGGAGGCCAGCTGCAAAATTTGTTTAAAAACTATTCAACGCTCGGGAAACACAACAAATTTACAAAAACATGTTCGCACGCATCCAGAGTTGTAAGTGGTTTCTTGGTTTCAAATTAATATAATTGGTTATTTTCTAGTGCTAAAACTGACATTCAAAATTATGGGCAAAAGAAGTTGCCTGGTTGCAATGCAGCGGTAGAGGTCCACAGCAATATTACTGCTCCCAGTGCTAATAGCGATTCAAGCGGGCGTCAAAACTCCCCGCCATTGGCAATTACTCCAAAAACAAGTGGAAAAAAAGCAGCCGTTGGAGGATTATCCAAAAAAAATCGTAAGTCATATCCGATTTATACAAATTCTGAATACTTTTTATATAAAAAAAATGCGTAGGACAGTCAGCATAAAAATTCTCAAAAATCAACGCGAATTTTTAGACATTTGAAATTTGCACATTATTATACTAAAATTTAATATCCCATAAAACTGAATACCTGAATTTTTGTTTAGACATTCTTATTAAAAAGGTTGCGATTTTGCTGAAACTTTGCAGATTTTTCAAAGTTTAGTATGTAAAACATTGCGAATATTAACAAAAAAGAACGGTATGATAAACTTTATTTTGCAAATTTCAAGTGGGTAAGAACTATCGTTAATTTGTACACAACTTTTTATTGACTTCCTTGCCATATTACATATCGACTGCTGAGTTGAAGATCGACCTATCAAAAAACTTTTCAAGAATGCTCTATTTCAGAATTTTATTGAAAAACACCCT